TCGCCGTTTCTCTTTCCTTCTTCTTACATGACTTACCTCTCTCAGACGAAATCAACTTCGTCAAATATGCAGATGACCTGACTGTTTCGCTTCCCGTTAAGTCTCAGTCAGACTGCTTCAAATTAAATAGCTTCCTGTCGGACATCAGTCAGTGGTCTAAAATAAATGGCCTAACGCTGAATCCCTCAAAATGCCAGACTGTCGACTTCTCCTTTAGGCATAAACGAGATCTACAAACACTAGTAAGCACTCATGATGTCTGTAGAATCGAGGGACTATAATTGAAACAAAGTCTAATGCAAAATACCTCGGATTAGTTATATCTTCCGACCTTACTTGGTCATCTCATATCCAAATGATTTCCAAGAAAGTGTTTCGTCTAACCTACTACATTAAGAAACTCAGACTAACTGGAGTCCCTCAACCTCTGCTTACACAATTTGTCAACTCTCGTATCCTACCTATTCTACTTTACTGTTCCCCGTTAGTCTTTCCTGGGTTACTGAAAAAGGATTATACCATCCTGAGAAGGATGTTGAAGGTAGTTAGCAGGACTAGCGGTGTAAAACTCAGTCAGCTCGTCACACATTAGTGGATAAGCATCTGAATACATGTGAGAAATGGTCTAAAACCATACTCTCTGACCCCACACCCCTCTATTCCCAACTCTTCCCTGCATCTCATCAGGTAGAACCAGAAATCAGTATAAAATAATATATGCTTGCACAACCAAGTATAGGAACTCAACGATACCATATTTGGCCCGTGTTCTAAGTGACAGAGACAATGTTAGGCGTGAAACCTATGACTTGCTTTGTTGTTAATAACATAATTTTGGCCCTTGTTTTTTCCCCCTTACACTCTCCTATTTGTACTCTATAGTGAACAACCTTCTTAAACATACTTAGCTGCTTAAAATTATTATCATTGGCTTACATTTTTATTCTTTATTCTATTCCTTCTTTGTACATCTACTGGTCCGACTATATTATCACTATGATTATTAAAAATTGTCCCGTCATTAACCATCATGTAACATTAGTTTTGTGGTTGTTTTTTGTTCGGCACTATTTAACTGACAATCTTGTTTGTTATTGCCACTATCACCATCTTAAAAATTTTGTATTATGCATGATTCCTCACACTGCCACTACAAACAACCGCATTAGTACTGACAAAAAAAAACAACCTGAAATGTTTATCTTATGATTGCTTAGTGTTGTTCAATCAAATTAACTGATCATCTTGGCTATAAACATTTTTTAAGAACATCTCATAATTTCTTGTATGATATAGCTGTTACTGTTCACCACGCATACACATATCGTAGCTTCCACTAACTAATACTGAAATATTTTTTTTCATTATTTGTGTTGATCTTCTTTTTTACTCAGTATTTTTATTTGCATTTTTTTGGTTATTTCTGTTTCTTTTTTTGGTTTTTTTTATATTTTATTTTTTGATTATACTCCTTTTAAATGTATGATGAAATTAGATGCAATATTGTAGATATGTGCTGAAAATTCCACACTGTACCACAAGTACTGTTTCTGGAATAAAGCGAAATTGTATGTTCCTCTAGGAATTAAAGGATATAATAATATGATAATAAGTACATGTTTGTAGCCTACCGTTCTTCCTTGCCTGAAATGCAGAACCGATTTCAGTGATGTCAAATTCATACATCCCTTTTAAAACTAAAATTTAAAAAATAACGACATTGGATATTGGACATACAATAGCGACCTTCGCAATCGAAAACAACCATATCTTGTTAAGCGCTAGTCACGATTTCCTGCAGCACAGTGACGCAACTTTACCATATATATTTGGTGTGCAGCGTAAGTTGTGGATTTACTATTCTATTTGCAAATGGACCGGAATACCCTTTGGAACATATTCAGGAAGTAAGCATTGGAATTTTTCCCTAAAAACCTTCAAAAGGGTAGACAAAGATGGGAGTGGTAGTATTTCTGCTAATGAATTACAGGCTAGTTTGTCTAACGGTGAGTTGTACACTTGAATCAAAATAATTGATTTCATAAATTAAATGTTCAGAACATATTTGTAGCATGGTATGCACCTTTTAAACCATTAACTTTGTCGGTATACCATGGTACCTACAAAGTTACTTCAGTCAACTAATAATCGTTTGCTTATCTTTTTGAGGAAAATCAAATGTAGAGGGCATTAAGTTTACTGAAGAGTTTACATGGAGTAGTGTAGGACTGTGTTCTTGTATCCAACGATACTGGGAACAATTAAACATGTCTAGTGAAGTATGCTAGATTTTCAAGCCCAGCACCTATTTGGTGACAATGTATAAAAGATGGCCCTATAGTTTTCTCATAGTCTCTCAGACAGTCAACATTTTTCGTAGTGTTTTAGACTTAATATACTAAACTAGACGTATTAGAAATGTCCCACATCAATATGAAATCTGTTTGTGCGAGTTCGCACTATAAATTCAGAAGTTTTCACTATCAAGGCGAATCTTGAGGGAAGCTTCAAACATTTCTGTGTATACATAGCAAAGAGAAAATAACCTATCTGCGGACACGCCAATTTGGGTTATAATTGGGGGCGTCGTGATGATAGCCTGGCCGCCGATGGTGGTTTATAGTCCAGTTCTGTGCTAGCGAGACTTGGTCTTTCTGAGCCGAGAATGTGCAGTGAATCCAATTATTTTATTATCTCTGCATACAAAGTAATTTTTACACCAAGTGACGGCAACATACAAGTAAATTTGAGGTTTAGCAGCGTAGAGGTCGTCTTGGACACATACTACGGATGTCAGCTCAGCAGCTCACATACCGCTGACAGTTTTCTAGCTATGGGAATAGGTTAAAAATGTGCAAGGGTAGTCAGCTCATGACTCGGCGTCATAGGGTGTGAAATAGTTGTTGAGGTAGCATCTGTTGGTGCGTTGAAAATTTGTAGATGGAGTTCGGCAAGCAATTCAAGTCAGTGGCTCAAGATTCTGCTATATATGGCCGATAGTCATAATCACTGGCGAGCGTGCTACAACTTCCTCCTTTTCTGTCTGTTTGGCAGTAGGGAGTCGATAAACCCTCATCACTACTCTTCATCACTATGCTTTCGTGATTTGTGATGGTTTTGTTCCTTAATTATTCTGTTTCTTTCCAATGTGTAGCTTAGTTACTTTTGTGTTGTACATCTCTTAGTCTCCATATTATATTTTATGTGTAAATAATAATTGTTGAATACAATTTTTCACTAAATATATACCACATCGTTGTGAATATGTGTCCGATTTCCAACAACTGGGAAACTGATATCCTAAGTCTAATTTGAAAAGATTCAACACGCCGATAACAATGAAAATCCTCCAGTAGGGGAAGATCTTTATGTTGTGTTTAAATAGCATAATAAAAATAGTTTTGCTTAGTAATTGTATCAAGTCGACGAATGTTATCCTGAAAATCACGTGTTTAAAATAGGACATTTAACGATTGTTCTGATCGTACTTTTTAGGTAATATGACTAATCGAATTATTAGCATTGATATATCAGCTTGTCATGAACTTCTTTTTTCTTGAAACATACTGTCTTCTAATTATCTGATTGTAGACACACCTTTTAATTTAGCTTCCTTAAGTGGATGTCTTTCCAGAATCTATTCAGAATCATGACTGGATACTGGACTAGTTGCTGTATAACTTAACTGACATTCAGTACTACTTGGAATTTCCTAAATACTTTAAAGATATTTAATAACTTAAATTCGTCTGGTGTTTTCTTCAGTTCGATTGGTTAATTATTTGTTCTTTTTTCAGTTATCTAACCACATTCACTTGGTAAAGATGCACTTTAAGTTAAAATCCTTGAAAATATAACAATTAGGTTCAGTCCGAAGCTCTAGCTGTTAATTCTTGGCTTCCCTAGGATTATAATAAAGCAGTCTGCACCTCCTCACATACCTTGGACAATGGATAATGCCTTCACGGGTTGCCACTGTTTTCGTGTAATTACCCTTACTGTCTTCTCAATCTAATCTTATTTAAACTAACGTTCTTTAAAGAAGGGTGGCTGCGTGATACGCATAACACATCTTCCGATCACTTCAATAGATGGAGATTCAAGATCGTATTATTACTATTATTACTGAATGAAGGCAATTATGGTCGAATAATTGTGATCTTTTCATATCTATTTTCATCAACGATGACACAGCAGTAACGTAGGATAGAGCGTACTGCTTCACACTGTACACGTCTTTTGACAGATAGGTACTTGGCACCAAAGAAGACACTGTTCACATAAAGGATTCTTTACCAAACTGACTAAAGCTAATAATTCTGCTGTTTGAACAAAGAAAGAATAAACATTGGCACAGAATAATCTGGGTCCATTTTATTTCGTTGGTTCTCATCAGCTGCGTACAACCTGAATTCTTTAATAAAATAAAAATGTACAATTTTAACAAACTTTTGTCCATTAGCAAACATATTGTCAGAGCGTCATAATAAAATAAGGCATTGCGATTTACAGAGTGTCTAAAGTATGCTTGCTAATGTACAGAAGTTTGTTAAAATTGTACATTTTATTTTATTGAAGAATTTAGTAGGTTGTACGTAGCTGATGAGAACCAACGAAATAAAATGGGTCCAGATTATTCTGTGCCAATGTTTCTTCTTTCTTTGTTCAAATTTATAAAAGGGAATCGTTGTATGAAATTCTGCTGTTGTTTACATACTGCTATTTGCAAACATGAAGGTCGACAGGTTTTCCACAAATTGAAATAATTGGAGAAATATACGATTTCAATCCAACGATTTGAAAGACTCATGTATTTATTGGAGTATACTTAAGCATCGGTTATCATTCAAGTCATTGCTTCTATATGACACGTTACGAAAAGCAACAGGCTATAGATATTCATTAACAGCTGTCTTAATTCCACTACTGAAGATAAAAAGACTATGAAGGATAAGCACCAAGGGACTTCGGCAACGAGTTAACCAAAAACTTATCGCCCAATAAATATGAAGAAAGAAATGGAGATAAACTGAACAATAGCTTAGGAGACCGTTGAATGACATCACGCGGCAGGCCCTCAAATAGGAGCTTCAACCCCCCTCCCCTAAAGGGGGACAAGGAATGGGCATAGACCATAGAGTAACATAGAGGAGATCGTGTAGCGAGGAACTGAAAGCTTTATTGATAGTCGTGGAGCCAGCTAAAGATGGTTTCAGAAAATAAGGTGAAATAGAGATGTACTATTGAAGCCCTGTGTCCCACTCAGAACACAAGGGAATAATAATAACGTTACCACCTTAAAGCGTCTACCTAAAGATTCCAACAGATTTCTTTTGCTTAGTATTATTACGCAGATGATAGATAAAAAAACACTAAGCTAAAACTGATGCTTTTTAAGGCAATTTCACATATAAACGCTGAATATAAGTTCTAATTTATTTTGGTCCACAAGAGTATCAATTAGGACACTTTCAGCCTGAGTGTACAATGTTATTTTTACTGGCTGAAAATATTATTAGGAGGTAACTATTTGTTTCAGATATGATCGTCCTGTGCGTTTCTTCCATTCTAAAATCTACTCTCCATCATTTTAGTGTCTGTCGCTTATCATTTTCGTTTGACGTGTTAATCCGTTTGTTGACTACGTTTAATGTGGAGATTTATGTGGATGCGTAGACAGGTACACTCTAGGCTCTTTTCCTTTCATTATTTTAATTCATTCTAATAAAAACAAGATGATTTTGGGCCAACAATTGTGGTTCCGATAAATTCTCTCACAGGCTCTCTACTACAGTTATAAATCCATGAGTAGTATAGAATACAAGTAGTCAGTCATTAAAGGCATGTGAAAATTTTATCGGAAACTGTCTGTATTCGGGTACATGTATAATATGGAGTAATAGTTCAGTATTTAATATTGTCAAATGAATAATGCATATAAGAATGTGCAGTCATTCAGAACATAAGATAAAGTGTGAATGGACAATTGAGCGACATACTAATGTATTTATAGTCAACAGAATATAAATTTCATTGGGGGTAGGGTGAGTTATATTCTGTGGTGTGCGACGAAAATGATTACCACAATATACATACAAACAAATACCAAAGAAATGGGGAACAATGAAATTAAGTTCAAGCAAAGGCTGAGGAGATATCAAGAGTATTGATAAAATGAAGAGGTTAAATTGTGAACTGTAATAAAATACTAGAGACATAATAGGCTTATTGTAAATTACAAAAGGAAGGTTGTATTGAAGATGAAATCGAAAATTTTAAAACTACCCTGCTACAAAATGGTTACCCTACCAATTTTGTAAACAAGTATATTTCCAAAAGAACGGACAAAATCAAGTGTGACACAGTGAATAGGAAATAGCTTTATTTGAGAATACAGTTCAAAGGTGATATATGCAGTAATATACTAAGCCGTAGATTGATCAAATCAGTTGAAAAAATTTCAGTGCTGCAGAACTACATATCATTTTCTCAACCAGACCGTTACTGGCACAGTGCATCAAAGATAAATTATCAGATGACAACATCAATGTGTGTATACAAGTTCAATTGCTCATGTACAGCTAGTTATATAGGTCGAACTCAGAAAAATTATCTATACACGCTCGTGAACATGTTCCTGTTTGGCATGGGAAAAGTGTTACTAAATCAATAAACAGTGCCATTTTGTCTCACCTAGTAGATAGTGAACACCACATCAAAATAGATGAGTCATTCACGGTTGTATATCGAGTGAGTACCAAATAATCTTCCTAAAAGCACACGATTACGTCCCTTAGCTATAGCGGAAGATGCAGAGATTAACAAGAAAAGATCTGACCTTTGTATGGAAAAGAAGCACATTCATCCTCTTTGTTTGCCCTGGCCTACAATAAGGTAAGCAGGGACATAATCATCCATATTTTCATGTCATATTATACCTTCTTATTCCTTTTCACCTAGTTCGCTTTACTCCATTACCTTTACTCTGTAATTATTGTGATTTAAAATCAATTGGTTGATAGTGACTAGCTGTGGAATCCAGGATAAAGCGCATTTCGTCCTATTTGGGACTGGCTTGTCAGCTGGATGTACCTGCATTCCCCAGTGATTGATGGTGCTCTCAATGAGGCTCGAACGCAGGGCCCATAGTTTCAAGTGCCAAAGAGTTATCTATTATACCACTCGGGTCAAGACAGCAACCAGTCTTACTAATTATTTAATTCAGTTTAGATTTTCCCATCAATTGACTGAAGTGAAGTGCTAAGATTTTGTGTCTCTAGTACTCTATTGCAGTTCACAATTTAACCTCCTTATTTTATCTTGTCAGCCTTTGCTTGAACTTAATTTCATTGTTCCCCATTTCTTTGGTATTTGTTTGTATGTATATTGTGGTAATCATTTTCGTCTCACACCACAGAATATAACTCACCCTACCCCCAATGAAATTTATATTCTGTTGACTATAAATACATTAGTATGTCGCTCAATTGTCCATTCACACTTTATCTTATGTTCTGAATGACTGCACATTTTTATATGCATTATTCATTTGACAATATTAAATACTGAACTATTACTCCATATTATACATGTACCCGAATACAGACAGTTTCCGATAAAATTTTCACATGCCTTTAATGACTGACTACTTGTATTCTATACTACTCATGGATTTATAACTGTAGTAGAGAGCCTGTGAGAGAATTTATCGAAACCACAATTGTTAGCTCAAAATCATCTTGTTCTGTTTAATTTAGTCTGTTTACTATCCTCTTACTTGTTTACACTGTTTGTTTTCAAGAGTAAAGCTAATTAGACTAATGTATTAATAAAGAAATTATTGAATGAGCTGTATTTCAACATAGAACTTTGCATAAAAGTGCAACCATTCACGTTGTTACACTCCATGTAGCATACAAACATAGACAAGAGAAATTCAAAAGAACTTTTATGTAAAGAAATGTACGAGAGGAAAACTAGTAACATGGAAAATAAATATTTATATTATATTATATATTATATTTATATAAGGATTTAATGGATCTGAAATAAGAAGTCATTAAGTGTAGACAGACATAGCAGGGTTGAGTTCATTACACCAAAAATATTTACCAGCTATCAGCATACACTTCATACCCATTCAAACATTTATGCAAAAATAATGAAGTTTACTCATACACTTTTTTCTCCTGAATATAAAGGTTTGGGAACCATGTTCAACTTGAGAACTGTTCAACTAATGATTGCAATGTTTGATCGTGATATGAATGGTACAATTAGTTTTGATGAATTCTGTAATCTATTCAAGTATGTACAAGACTGGCAAAATTGTTTTCGACGTTATGATCGTGATAACTCTGGGTCAATTGACCGTCAAGAATTCGCGAATGCTTTGGCTAGTTTTGGTTATCGTTTATCCCCACAATTTATTCAACTTATGTTACAGCGTTTCGATCGAAATCGTCGTGGGTGTATTGCATTCGATGATTTTATTTATGCTTGTGTATGTTTACAGGTAATTCTTATATTAACGAGTGTTAGTTTTACTTTCCCATATTATTAGAGTTGATTGAACGTAAAAAGCTATATGAAGCAAGCACGTTTGGTCATCATTCTTGTATTATTAATGTAATGTTTAACAAACATTATACTCTAACTATATTACTAGGTCATTTCGAATAATCACGCATGTGCTATATATATATATATATATATTAAAGCCAGCTTATATAACAGCATAATTCGGTAATTGAAGTCATATGATGTGCTTAGCACAAGTTTAGAGTATAGATATATAGTAGTAATAATAACTTAACGAATTATAACCATCCGGTGCTAACGATTTATTCATAAAAAATGTTGACGACTATTCCCGTGAAACGGTAATCTACATATTTTTCATTTTTCAAATTTATCAGTTCACTCTACGGTTCTCTTCCCCTGCTGATTTCACTTCCAATTGATCACATTGATCAATAATCCATTTTATTTCTTGATCAAGTTGATGTTACAACTCATCTACCTGGCAAAGATGTTATATGTAAGGAATTATGCTTTGAGCCATATATATTGTGTGAGGAGCTTTGATGATGATACACATTTGTCCAGGTTTGTTTACATAAAACAGAATCTGAGAATGATACCTATCGGTTAAGGATTAAAATCAATAAGCTAACGATCTCTGCATGAGTTGGATTACAAGTCTGCCTACATTTTACCTAAATATTTTTGATATCGTTGTATATATATATATATATACATTAGCCAGGAATGACTAAAATCAAGTGTGACACCAGTCCGTAGAGCTATTGAACTCCGAGGTTTGATCTATGTAGGAAATTATAGCTTACATTTGGCAGCCCATAACTGTAAGAACCTATGGTGTGGTTAGAAGCACAAAGTGATATTTTTCAGAACCGATTGCAATGGCACAAATACATACATGGTTTGTTTCACTCTTTATCATAATCTTTCATCTCCCACTCTCTCCGTTGATGTAGTCTTCTAAGACTGTAAATGCCTTTTTTTTTCACCACAAACATGGCATCTAAACCAAGTTTCTTCAGATTTGATACAGTCTTCTAATTACTGAAACATCGTTTCATTGTGACACCCTAAAGAACTAAAATTTCTTGACCGGTGAATAGCTTTTGAAATACTTACAAAGTAGCGGCGACAGACAGAGAGCTAGTGGCGGTCAAACGAAAACATGGCTTCATCAGTCAATGAAATCCATAACAGTTAGTTTAAGTCACATGGGGAGGTGAAGACTTCCTGACTGACTGGTTGAGATCCTCAGGATAATGAGTGAAGGTCGCAGACTATTGATGATATGGCTTGAAATCGTTCTCATTGGGACAGATGCATCCACTCCTTGTGATTTATCGTATCCAATAAGATTCTATTGTTCTCCCCTATTATTGTTCTTTTTGCTTCACACTTCTGTTTATTATCTCTCTTTTGAATCTCCTCTTTTTACTGTCTTCTCTCGCTTTGTGGGCTACATGGGAGAGAGTGTGCAAAGTTCTATGCTGAATCCAGCCAGTCAGTCAGTCAGTCATTAACTGATAACCATTGCGTATATTTCTCATGATTGAAAGACTTTTTTCTACGCTACTTCCTACGGCTAATCAGTCGATTTTCGTGATGATCACAACTGTATGATCGGGGGAATTAGATCGATTTTGATTCATATAAGCTAACTGATCTGCACCGATCCCTGCTTTTAAGATAGAAAGTGAAGTGGTTGAGCATGTTGACTACTTTAAACTTATTTGGGAAATTGTGTCAACTATAATAGAATGTTTGAATGCTGACGAAATCTCAGTACGGATGCAAAAGGCTCATCTGGCATTTGTCAGCTCATTTCATCTTTTTTGTGTAGACGTGATAGCTAGCAGTCTACCAAAGGACGTGTGTGCTGCTCATTAGTTCACTTTGTCCTCCTATAGAGCTGTGAAATGTAGCCATTGAAAGTGAAAGATATGAAAGGGCTATCTGTCTTTGAGCACAAATATTTGCGTTCCATCTCCGGTGTTAAATGTTATCATGTCGAGTAAGCAAATATTGAGGTTAAGCATAGAGTGCTACTTAAAGGACGAAAGTCAACCGATGAGGTTATGAAGCAACATCGATTGAGATAGCTAGGATATATTGCGCATGCCAGGCTACTGTGTCTTCTTTGGCAAACAACGTTAGCCGACATCGCGGTTGAGTAGGAAAAAAGTCAAGGGTGAACGAAAACCTGACATCAATCCATAAGGAGTCTTTGACTATTGGTTTGGGCCAGCCACTTAAGGAGGTGTAAATTGCCCGGTTTAAGGTCCTCGAGATGCTAAAAACCAGCGGCTGATAAGACCGTTAGTGATATGACTCGAAATCGTTGTCAATGATGTGCGCAGATGCATTCACTGGTTGCAGTCTCCCAAATACACTAAACTGTCAAGTTTTTCCACGTTACTATTCTTTCGTCCTCATGTAAACTTGTGTTCGTCAAAGCTATTTTGAATTTTTGTTTTCTTTCCCGTACCCTTTTGTGTGTGCTAGCAACTTGAACAGATAGCTGCACTTCTGTGCAAAGTTCTCCATTGAAACTCACTCGATCAGTCAAACATATTTTGGGCTATATACTTGCTTTCCGGTAGTTAGTAAATAACTTCAAGTTTAGCAACAGAACGATGGAAATTGAAATCATACATGTGCTTAGTTTTAACAACTATTTACGGGAATCGATTGTTGTCGGTAAACTTTGTTGCATTGGCATCTGGAGGATGATAGACTCGAGTCTCGACAGGAACACAGGTTTCTCTAACATTACAAATACACCTTACTGTTGATTAACACCAACAAGTGTAAAATATCAGCTCATCGCCTACTGCTAAATTGACTCAAAACAATCTCAAATGGAACGAATTTTGTGAAATTTCGTGAATTCCAACGTGTTGTCTAGTCAAGCGTTAAAACATTTGCCAGTAGTCTAAAGTTCGCGTATTTTAAGAAGCGGATCTGAAAGTTCCTAATTGATGCTTGACTAATACTAATATTCATTGTTAACGTTATCGTATACCTTTAAAAAATTGGCCACTGTGGTAGTGTATGTACTTCCACATTATTTTGTCTCCTGGATGCCACATACACACATGGTGGAAAAGTATTATTAACGTTTTTTTTAATTCTTTCACGTTCCCAGTGGAACATAGGGCTCCAAACTAGAGGTTTGAAGTTTCGGTAGCAGTGGTGCTTGCTTTACAGGATTGGTTTGCTAGCCTCATGCCCAACCATTCCTCTTTACCAGCTTTACTTAGCGAGGTAAAGGAGTGCGTCCGCGACCGGGGATCGAACCCCGGACCATGGGCATGGTCAGCGAGCGTTGTGCCAACCACGCACTGTATTATTAACTGGTTGACTATTTATCGCTCACAATCATATCATCGATATCATCATAATTACACCACTTGGAAACTTACCAGTTGACATCAGTTAGAAGACTATTAGAAAACGAGGTAGCACTGGGCGTCTGTTTCGTCAGCTTAGTTTGAGTCTTCTAGTGCTCAGTAGCGACTGGCTGTATACAGAAGGTCACTTGAAGAAGCCGTAACCCGAACAGTCTACGAAGTCGGATAAGAGAACAGATGCACACCTATGATATTGGCTGGTGGTCAAATTGTATATATCAGGAATTGGTAGAAGTTGGAATTCATAGGTCATTAGAGCTTGTCCTAATGGCTGAATGGTCTACAAGCTTGCCTTGTAACTGGTAAGTCCTGGGTTCGAACCCCAGTGCATGCGTACTGCTGAAAGTGAAGGGTCCTAAACAAGGATGAAGCAACTATCCAGTACTCCCTGATTCTGCTATGGTTCTCCAATAACTGATGTCAACTCGTGATAAAAAAATGTAACCAATCAAATCCTTGTGAGCCAACACTTGACAAGATACCATGTGTGCAAAACGTTGTCATCCAGTCAGTAATACTGTTTCACTGTGTGTGTGTGTGTGTATATCCAGTCAACAAATTGATATAAGTGACTGACTGCCTTCAACGTAGGACTTTACACCGATGTGCAGCCTCCCTAGTCACCACACCTCACTCAGCACACAAAGCAAGTGAAGAAAGTAAAAAAACGCAAAATAGAGACAGTAAACAGAGATATGAGGCAGAAAGAATAGTAATATCGAACAGCAATAGAGTTGTATTCCATATTATAAATCAAAAAGAGTGAAGGGATCTTCGCCAGTCATTGACAACGATTTTGAGTTATGTCACTAATTGTCTCCAGCCACCACCATTGGTTCTCACCATCTCGACGACCTCAACAGTCAATCAGGAAGTCTACACCTCCCTACGTGGCTGACTGGCCAGCTGGCTTAAACTAACTGTTGTGGATTTATTTGATTGACTGATGAATCCATGTTTTGGTTTGACCACCCCCAGCTAACTCTTTTCCAACCTGATCCATCCTATATCGGCAACTAACACTGTCCGTTGTTGAGGAAGGTGATGGATGGCTAGGCCACGCATGCGTAACACATGTCCTAATATCAGCAGATTCACCTGCTTCACAACCTCGTCGACAATTGATTTCCCCTCCCACCTACCTAGTACTCAACAGATGCCTAACTCCAATATTGCTCACCTTATTATACCACATCACCTAACACTCACGGGAGATAGAAGGAAGACATCCATGATGAAAGATAGCTAGATAACCAGGCTTTTCATGTCTTGCGCCTCCAATGAGGCTGGTCATGTCTGACTCACAGGCACGAAGGAGGACTAAGTGAAGTGACTGGTGAGCAGTACACACGCCCTTTGGTCGACAGCCATCCAGCGAGCCGGACATCACGTATACTCAGCTGGAGAAGGCATAAGTCGGCATATGCCAAACGAGCCTTTTGTAACCGTGGTGCGACTTCTTCAGTGATCAACTCGTTGGTATTGGCTGATGCAACTTCCCAAAGTTAATGAAGTGGTCAGTACACTCAGCTACGACTCCACTCCTGCCTATAATTAAGCTAAGAGTCAATGAAATCTTACTTTTGTATTTCTCCCAGCATAAAACATAACATTTTTTGGTTTTTTTTTGACAGACTCTGACAGGTGCTTTCAGACAATATGACTATCGAATGGTTGGTCAAGCACAATTTTCATTTGAACAATTTTTAACAGCAGCATTCTCAGTTGTCATATAAACATGAATTATTTTAAACAAGAAATTTTCTTGTCAAGGATATTTTGTAACTGCATTCATTCAAAAAAGGAAGAAAGAAAACTCTTCTCTGCTTTTAGTTTTTTTGAAAATTTTCTTTAATATTGTTTTTTTTCAACTTTTAAGGAAAATCGACTATTCCTGCTTGATTTTTTCATACCCTATTTGTACTTAATTGTATAATCCCTGAAATTTTTATTCTGTCACATCGTCTATGGTATGTTGGTTTGTTTATTTCGTTGTCTTCCTGTACTTTGCATTTTTGGATTTGTTCTTTTTTTAACCTAAATTGTACTTTCTTTTAATCTGAAGTGTATATTTATTTTGATTTGATTGTTTTGAAGTTGGATTTTTCATTTTAGCGTTACAGATCACTGAATAAATCAATATTATTATATTGATGAAGTTGTTTACGAATTTATTGATCTGTATGCTGTTGTTTTGTTGTATGCGTATATATATATAATTATATTTCAAAAGTTTACACACAATGACAAGTTTTGTTATTGGTTATATTTCGAGCAAAATTACTGCCCGTGTTCACACCACTGTTGGAATTGTTTTATTCCGATAGTTTATCTTTGGAGTTGTTGGAGAATAGTGGGCAGCTTGAGAATACCAGTCGTAATGTAGCAACAGAGAATGTTTATTTCAGGGTGTTAGAGATATTCTCCTCTTTAGGATGTCGACCAGAATGTCACCTGTGAGCCCCGCATTCATGCATAGCATCTTCTTAGGCACAGAGATTGCTGATTTTCGTTTCTATGTGTTTCTCTATAAAACTTGGCGTGGTGGATAGCCATTCTCAATTAGTGTCTTCCTTAAGAGAGTAATCTCTTCTTCTACTGACTCGGGGCTGCATTTTCTGCGGATTCTAGTTGTAAGAGATATTATCAGGTTCCGTTCGCGATTTATGATTGGTCAACTGTAAAAGTTTATCAGCTGGCCGTTCCACTTAGACTTTCTGTATGTTGATCTCTTCAGAGTCCCAGCAATCTTCTTTGTTAGTCGGACGTCCAGAAATGAGATTGTCTCTTTGGTTTCTGCTTCAATTGTAAATTTGATGGCTGGGTGGCAGCTATTAAAAACCTGAAGGACAACATTATTTAGGTCACATTTATTATCACAGCTGGTAGAAGTGTCATCAGCGTACATTCTGTACAGAGAGAAGTTTCAACGGATCATTTTTCAAACTTACCATGAAAATACCTGTAAGTAACGGGCCTAAAGGTAAACGTGTGTTGAAGAGAGTATTTTAAAATTTGTTCTCTGGCAGTCTGTAAGAGTTCTACCAGCCATTTTTCAACTGGATGGTATGGAGATCCGGTCATGTCCGAAATAGGGTGCAACGAAATTCCCTGTTCGTGAGTTTTTCGTAATCCATATAGTCGGAATATTATTGAAACAGTTGGTCGAATGTTCTCGTAAACCTTTTCAGAGATAAGTTGATCACTTTTAAGCTTTCTCAATATCCCAGTGAGTTGCATTTCTGTTATTTGTGTTTTGTCTGTCTCCTTGTCAGGTGCATCGAACTTGTTTTTGTCCGAAAGAATTGCATGGAGGATTTCATCATGAGCTGACATTGGTTAGGGAACCACTGAAACACCTGGGAGTACTGGACAGCTGTTTCGTTTTGGTCTGGGACTCTTCAGCAGTACGCACCCACCGACAGGGTTAGAACCCAGGACCTTCCGATCACAAGGCGAGCTAGCTCGTAGACCATTAAGCCACTGGGACCCGATCCAATAGCCCATGAATTCTAACTTCTGCCAATTCACGACATAGCGCGACCACTTCGCAATGTCTTCTTCGATGAGTTACTGCCTCATTTTCAACCTGCTGTACCCTACTGGTCATATCCGAAAGAATTGCTAAAATTTTACCAGTATGGTCCTTTCTATCTATTTTAGGACTATGCCAGTATCTTTGTCAGGGCGTGTGATCAGCAATTCCTTGTTACATTTTAGTTGGTTGAGCTGTTCTCTGCGTTCTTTAGTCAATAGATTATTGGATTTAGACTTCGCATTGAGGTACTGATTGCATGAGTCTAGAATTGTTGACATACAACACGTTTTAATTCCTCTTCAGAGACTGCAGAAAGATCACTAGTCTGATTGATCAAATTTTCGCCCTTTACCTGTGTATGGAGCTTGCTAATGTTTTGTTTCATGTCGCAGAAATTTTCCCTCGATAGACAAGGCATCCAGTTGTTTAGGAGATAAAGTTACTGAAGAATGAATCAACACAAATTTAGCAGGATCTTCCGGAAATTCGCGTCGTATTTCAGTGGCTTTTAGGCTACTTAAGAGGTTTGAATGGACGACTTTTGTGTGCTTCTCCGTAACCATACTCATATACTCAGTGGAAACTTGGCGTTTTTGTCACTTGACAACTCACATAACGCAGAGGGTCGTCGTGCTGTGTTTCTCTCCAGTCCTGGGACATGTTGAAGAATGGAATCGATGTGGTTCAAAGTATGGCGTTTAGGCGATTTAGAGTTCGGATAAATATGATTGCGACGAAGAGCTTTCTAATACCACTTCGCATATCTATATTTATTTATGCAGTCTCGGAGAAAGTTAGTCTTCGCGTTGACTTCAGCAAGCTTGACAGAATAACATAGAAACCTATTAAGTTCCTTCACTGTTGAAGGGTCCTTGCTAATTTTTTGATTCACGAAAAATACCCATCCAATAGTGTTTAATAACAATTACTCACTGAGATTTATTTGGCGTTACGGAAGTGTCAACCATAGAGCTCTACCAATCTAATCAGCTCCCAAAAACGATGTTTAAATATCCTGGCCGTTTAGGGGTGATCAACAGAGTCTGGCCACTAGACAAAGACTCAAGGCCACAATTAACAGAATTTATTATGCAGCTAAACTTATCTTCACAGGGAAAACAAGAACTATGCTGTCCTGTAAACCCTCATAGTATCCGAACTATAGTGCTACATCTCATTGTGTTTATCAATTTACATGTATGTGTGGACACATGTACATGGGGAGGACCCATCGGTCTCTGCAGGTTAGGGCTTCAGAATGTATTCCAAAGTGGCTGCAACAACAAATAAAATTGCCAGACATAAGTGATCCCAGAAATAGATGGCCGTCATCATCTATACAGAAGTATATTATAGAGACGGGTCATAAGGTTGATTTAAGCCCATATATAAAACAAGATTGGGTTACATACTTAAATTCGTTCAAGCCTTGGCCAGTGGCACAGTGGTTAGGACTCTCGCCGACCGTGCATATGGTCCGGGGTTCGGTCCCCTACCGACGCACACCTGATATCAATGGTTGGCTTGCAAAATTTGGACTACCGATATCACATGCTGAAAATTCCATACCTGTACCAAAAAGTACTGTGTGGAATCAAGCTGTCTGTCTTATGTGTCCAAAAGTTATTTGTTATTACCTTAAACCTGCCTTGGTAATCCAGTTTAGAACCAAGGACCAATTCACTTCATAACATTTTCAACCCTTTCCTAGTTTTGTTTCTTTTCTCCTTTTTTATCTTTCTTACCCACACCTTTGCGTCATCTCCCTACCCATTATATGTGACCTCGACCTGTACACAATCTGACCTGTATTGTAATTATTCGTGCTTGCCTTTCTATATAAAAGTGTGTATGATAAGTACGTGTGTGTGTGTGTGTGATCAGAATGTCCGAAATGTGTGGCGTAAATACACATGATACGTTTCAGATAAACTACGTCTTCTCATTCTTTTGTTGGAATTTAGGCTAAGCAAAAAATATAAGGAAGACATTATTTATCTCAAACATGTAATGTACTGGTGTAGTACATAGAAGGACAATCCGATCACACACACAGGCAAACATGCACGCGTACTTGTCATAGATATGCAAGTTAACAGAGTGTGACATGTAGAAATTGATTTAATATAGGCCAAAAGTATTGATTTACTGGTCGAAACGACAGATCAGATAAGGAAAAATGTGTATGTGTGTGTGTGTGTGAGTGGTGTATTATTACTTAAAATAACCTTTGGTTATAAAATTCATTTATGTCTAATGTCATATAGATTCATAAACCAACAAATAGACAGAAGAAGCAGGCATCAAAGACAGGACTTCAGATGAGTATAGAGAAGACGGAGGTGAGGAAGGTATACAAAGACCGATAATAACAATAACAAGCACAAATCACTATCAAAAGAAAATGTGCATGCAGCAGTTCAAGTTCTCACACTTCATGCAGCACACAAAACAAGCGAAGATAGTAAAGAGAGATTCAAAAGAGATAGAGATAATAAACGGGCAGTATTATTATTATTATTATTATTTTATCCTTTAGTTCCGATAGGAACATAGGGCTTCAGCCGCGCGTCTCCATTGCCCTCGGTTTTCTGCCAACTTTTTCACCCCGCTCCAAGTCTCTCTTCAACTGACGACCAACTCGCCGCTTCCCTTTCGGGTTCCACTCGAGCAATGGCTTGTCTAGTGATGTCACTTGATTGTTTCCTCAGCGTATGGCCAATCCATCCCAATTTCTTCCTACCTATTTGTTTCACAATCGGTTCCTGGTTGGTTCGCTGATTACCAGAGATCCCTGTTGCTGATCATTTCTGGCTGGCCATCTGATCTTGAGTAGTATTGAGCGAAGACAACTGTTAATGAAGGTCTGTAGTTTGTTTGAGATGCTCTTTATGGCGCGCGAAGTCTCTGATCCGTATAGTGAGTAGCACTGACTTCACATTGGAGTTGAAAATCCGGATCTTATTTTTGATGCTGAGTGCTGAGTGTTGACCTCCACACAGACTTGGGAGTAATGAAAGCTTGTGTTGCTTTTCCGATTCTGGCTTTGATATCCTCGTCAGTTCCGTCGGCCTGTAGTTGAATCGATGCTTCCCAGGTAGGTGGGTGGGTAGGTGAAGGAGGTTGTTTCTTTAAGGTTCCTCCCATTTATACTGACTGATTGTTGTCTGTTGTTGTTGTTGCTGTTGCTATTGACAAGGAATCTTCATCACCTCTGTTTTATCTATGTTCACTTGAAGTCATATCTTCTCTGGATGCTTCTTGTGCCAACTTGTTGCTTTTCACTTGCATATCTTCCAGTTTGTTGGAAATCAGACATATATCATCGGTGAAGTCCAGATTCTTCAAGTTTTTTCTGTGAGTCCATTTTATACCTGTTTCCTCATTGCCCGCCCGTTGTCTGTCGCATTATCCAATCTACTGCAACCAGGAAAATCATTGGTGATAATAGACAGCCTTGTCGCACTCCCATCCTCACTTCAAAAGCTTCCGTAAGTTTCCCGTTGTGGATTACTTGGCATGTAGCATTGTCGTATAACTGTTGGATGAGATGTATAATTGTCGATGGGACCCCGTAGTAGCAAAGTAGTTGCCAAATCACCTCTCAGTTGACGCTGTCGAAGGCGTTTTCAAAGTCGATGAAGTTGAGATAGAGAGGTGACTGCCACTCCAAGCTTTGTTCAATGATGATCCGTAGTATGGCG